ACAAAACCTTTTTTTAAATAGAACTTTTTCTAAGTTTCATTTCTGGATTCCATATATTTTTTTTTTTTATTTCTACAAACAAATGTTTTGCTGTTAGTAAGAATATTATGGATGAAATTGACTCCATAGTTGCACCATGACAACCCCTCCATGTTTTTTCTCTCCAGGCTGAACTGTATGACATCATCACTAAGAACCTGGAGAAGGTGACCAATCCTAAAGGAGAGGAGAAGCCGTCGATGTACTGAAGCTGAATTCAATCAATCAATCCTGCTGAACCATTTAACCCAGTCTGATAAAAAGTTCTTAATTTTCCTCTACAGTCCATAAAAGTAAATAAACTGGGTGTTTGTTTAATGACTTCCTTTTGATGCAACACTTCATTTTTGATCCAACATTTGCACTAAATTGCACTTGTCAATAAATAAAGGACTTTTTTTTTTCAAACTGTGGAAAATTATCTTTATTTGTAAATTAAAACACATTTCAGCATGTTTTCATGGAAAAAAAAAATAAAATCTTAACTAAAAGGAATTTCCTGACACAAAGACGCAGGAACAAGGACATCAATGAGGGAACAGTACAAACTTAGGAGCAATCAGGGTTTACACCTCGGGTCCTTCTCCACCAGGGATGAGCTGCAGAGGAGGAAACGTTTCAGGGTGAAATATTCTGACAGCTGGAATGAAGCAGGAGAGAAGAAATAAAACAAGGTTTCCTACCATGGTGATGTTATTTCCATTTAGGAGGATCTGATCCAGTTTGGTTATCCTTCTTCCCTCTGGGGTGATCTCACTGCAACACAGACAAGAAGTCCTGTGGGTTGGAAAACTGAACAGATTGGTAAACAAATAGAATAAAAAGGATAACTTACAACTCTGTCACGTCCTCCAGAACCATGTCTGCAAGTTTAGTAAAGGAGCAGAACAGGGAAGGTTTACCTAAACTAGAGTGATAGTGTACAGTCCTGTCAGTTTGGTACGCATACGATAAAGACAAAGAGCTTCATCTGGAAGAACAGACGCCTTTCAGAAAGGATACTGACAAAATCATCAAAGCCCAGCAGCGTGCCGACTATTTCTTTGTCGGTTTTCATCACTATGTGTATCCTGGAGCCGATACATTTGTCCACAAGCTCTGCAAAAATAAAGACAGGGTCAATTTGCTGGAATGTCATTCAAGTCCTTTTTTTAATTCTGACAATTTCCTCTAAACCCCAACAGACTGACCCATTCTTGCGTTTCAGATGTTTTCCCTTCTGCTTTCTGAGAACAAACTATTGCTTCACAACTATAGCTTCCAGGTTCAGATCCTTGAGTTACTTTTTCCAGATAATCTACAGCTCATCACCAAAGCGTTCCTGGATCATTGGGAGATAATCCAATCATGTTTCCACTAGACTTAGATTTTATTTTGTCATTTTTTACACACAAGTGTAAACAAAAAGAAATTTCATTAAGTGCAGCTCTCCGGACTATTTCATTTTTTAAAGTGCAGCCTTGATAAAGGAAAGCAGCAGTGATAAAAACACTGAGATGAAAGAAAAAAAAAACACTGGTGAAAAAAAGTGACGTAAACATGACTGTAGTTACAGTTCCAAAAGTCAGGGTTTTTTTCCCCCAAAAAACAACACAACCCTTTGAACCTGTTTAAAATAATAAAAATAAACATTTTATTTGCCATTATATTCATGGATAAAGCATATTGACAGACACATTTTCGTTTATGATCTTAAAAGCAAAATGTTTGTGCATTTTTTTTTTTTACATTCTTGGTATAATTCCTGCTCTAAGTGGGTCGCTCTTTCAGCTACAGGCCTGTTTTAGAGTCTCTACACTCCATTTAAATATAAATTTATTACTAAATTAGTTGATTAGTTTAATAATTGATTAATCATGATTAATTTGATTAATAAAAATAAACATTTTGAACGCCACTATATGGCTTTTATTGATGGATATGCATGTATGACTTACATAAATGATCCATCTCCTATACGAATAAATTCAGTAAGTTTCCACATAATGGGAACTAGGGCTGCATCTAATCATTTTGCAAAGCGATTAATGTGTTGATTATTTTTTTCAATTATTCAATTAATAACTGGATAGCCAAAGATTCCTTAAGAGTTTTTATTAATTTAAAGCAGAAAAAACTCAAACTTTTCTACTTGAGGAGTTCTGAATAGAGCATTTTGAAAGACACTTTTTTTTCCCCAACCCTAAAAGCAAAATGTTTATGCATTTTTTTAAAAACATTCTTGGTATTATTACTGCTCTAAGTGGGTTGCTCTTTCAGCTATAGGTCTGTTTATGCGTCTCTACACTCCATTTAAATATTGATAACTAAATTAGTTGATGATTATTTCAACAATTGATTAATGAAGATTAGTTTGATTAATTCTTTCAGCCCTAATGGGAACCCTGTAGGACTTCAACATTTCCTAAGAAAATTGATTTCTAAAGATATATTAATCAATCTTGGAGAGGGGAACAGAACCCTTGCCTGTTTACCCAGGCCAACAATTCCCTCTAATGACCCCCTTTCAGAGGCATAGACAGGTATCGGGTATTAAACGCTAACAAAGAACCCAAACGACCCCCATTCCTAAGGGGCGGACCCGTTCGTTTGGCTCAATTTGGATGTTTTCTAAGCAAAAACAAGGCTTTATTTTGGTCCACTCTATAAAGCCTCGAACTCAACACTATTTCTGACATTTTGAATAGAAAAATTTTCCCGGATTGGAAGCAAAACATCTTCAAACTTGGAAACAAAATCCAGTGGATTGTTTTTTATTTTTATTTTCAAAGAGGATTTAGCAAAGAAAACACCTTTGCACCGGTTATAGGCTGCCCACCCCTCCACTGAAGTCCAGTCTGTCCATCAGTTTTTAGAATAGGATCACAAACACTGCTGCCATGGTAGAAGTGAGCTCTGCACTGGTGGCAACATGATTTGGTAGATTATTGGACCCTCATTAATCACTGAAGCTGTCGTCCTTATTTCTTATGGGATTTCTGCAAATGGTTTGTACTTATGTAGCAAACTTTAAACAATATGACTTAAAAGTACAGTTGCTCTTTTCTACCAAACACCTTGTTAATTACTTTCCTGGTGTATTTAAATAATAAATGTAGTCCACAGACGGGTTTGCACTTTACATAAATATTACTGCATTCGTTTAAAAGATAAAGAAAATATGAAAAAAGGGAACGCATACCAAACCCTAGATGTTTTTTTCTTCTAAATTAAATTTCTATTTATTCTTAAATGGCTCTGTTCTCTCTAGTCACATCCTCCTGAACGTCTAAAACAGGGAGCTGCTGGGTCCTTAAAGAAAATAAACTTATAAATCTCTACTTCCAACCAGAATTCACGCCTGGAATCAAATAAAACCGAAATGAAGCGTTTTACCAACCGAGTGGAAGCAGTTGTGAAGGGTTGGTTGCTGGTGTAGCCGCCATCTTGAATCGAAAGAAGGCAGAAGAAATTGACAGAAGATATAAATTCGCATCAGGCAAAAGCAATCGAAAAACCCAAATCTATTTTATACGATTTTACATATATATATAAATTTGCTTTGGCTATTAAATATCTTTAGGGGTTTAATACAAAAAGTTGTACAAAATTGTATCACTGTTTATTTTAATTGTGTTCTTTTTTTTTTTTTTACTATTAAATAAATGTCTTTGAATTGGGGGATCCTACCTATCTCAACCGCAAGATGGCGCTGATCGTAACGTTTGATGCATGACGACATTTTTTTGTGTGACTAAGAAAAGATGTCAGTAAGTCAAGAGAGTTACCTGCCCTTTCAGGGCGACAAAAAGATGGTTGGCTCAGTCGGAGGAGTGGGGACTATGCAGAAAAACTTAACTTTATTTTTATTTACATAAAGATATTGGTACACACGTGAATTTTAATTCCTACATTATTTCATATCCAGAAAGAGAAAAATAACATCAACATCGAAGCAACAATAATTAAAATCCCATACATCAAATCTTTAACATTAGTTAAAACAATGTAGATGGTATTAATATTAATGATTTAAAAACAAACAAACAAAAAAAATAACTCAATGTTTTTTAATAAAAGGGTGAAATTCCAGTTGGATGCCTTCAAACTAGTATGACATGATTTTGAGTACAGTATGGTTTTAAATTGCTGCCAAAAATTAGATAAGCGTATCTTTCTGTTATTAAATGCGCGGTTATGACTAATAATCGCACTATTGTGACTGCTTAGTACGCCCTTCTAATCAATCTGAGTAAATTTATTAGCGATATGACTGAAGTCTGTGTTAGTAAAGTGTACCAATTTTTAAAACAGAACCCAACCTTTAGTTTAGTTTCTTTCCAATATGTATCAATTTATTTATTTTTAAATGTAACACTTATCAATTACAAAAAAGCTTCTTAAATGTTATCTATTGTGCAATTTATATTAATTAGCGTGTTTCGTGCAGGTACCTTAGTGAGCATGAAGGCTTATGAACTAAATTATTGGATTAATAAACTTGTCATATTTGCAAAATAAAATAAAACTGTTAAGTAAAAAAATGCCCTTTGACCCCCCGTGGTGAACCAATCAATTTATCCCTTTACCTCACACTTCACCGCCATTTAGCTGTGCTCCTCTAACGCTTTTTCATTAGTTCCTCGGTGATTAATACTGTTTCTTTTTGCATTTCTGTAATAATAATCTTTATAAATCAGTATCAACAATTTCTGAACTTACTAGAAATTAACTATGTAGCTAAAAAGCCACATTTATAATACAGACATCTTTAAATATTGATTTTGGAAAATGTATATCAGTTAAAACGCTATATTTAGCTACAAATCATCAGGATATTAAGATATAATTTAAAAGCAACATGCTTTTAAACAAATTTGATAGTATTTTTAAGGTTAAAGCTAACGTTCGTTAAAGCCTCGGGGAAGCAGTTTGCGACAAAGCGAAGCCGGAAGTGCGCAGCAGGGAATTCTCTCGCTCAATCCCGCCGTATTCGGGCCAGTCCAGGTCTGTGGCTCTTTCTACCGTTTGCTGCTTGTGTGATAGATTTGGAGCAAAAAAATCAGCTCTGCCCGCTGTTTACATCGGACTCCCGGAGGGAAACCGAAAGCATACTGCCAGAAGTGATCTCGGACGGTTGAAATGGAGTCTCAGGACAGAGACGAAGTTAAGGGACCAGTGCTGCACATCGTGGTGGTTGGATTTCACCACAAGAAGGGCTGTCAGGTAGCTGCTCCAAACCTCCTGCTGCTTGCTAACTGCTAACTACCTGTCACTATCTGGCTATTTCACACTAAATATAGTGGTGATTTCACTTACAGTTGATCAGAGATAATCAGAGACAAAGATCCTTGTTAAAATTGTTGATAATAAGCATGAGTATTGAGTCATTTATCCTTGAGGAGATGAATAATCGACTGTTTGCTTTAGGATCTGTTCCCTGTATAGATTGTGTTCTCTCTCCAGCTCACTTGTTTTTACAGTTCAGTATTTCCAGCTGATCCCAGATCCGGTTTACCACACCAGATCAATTAAACAAAGGTGATCGATTAGCTAAGTTATCTGCTGCCTAGTCTGTTTTTGGTTTTAATTTGTTAATCCTTCTGCACAGATATAGAAACTGACACATTTCCTGAAAAACAGGTTGGCTTGTTTTCATTTATCTGATCTGTTAAAGTAAATATATTTTCCTAAATAAAATAACATGGTATTTAGAAGTAGTTGATTTAGTGGTTTGGGTGCAGTAATTTGTGAGTCTGCATGTTTTACCCGAAAGGATCTTAAAAAATACATATTTGAAGCAATATAATAATCTTAATAAATTTTTTCAAATAGTCATTTTTGTCTTTTACTGCTGTGTTTTTGCTGGGTAAGAATATATTTTCATCATTGTTTAAGATGAAACTAAATGTTTAAATGATCCATTTGCAGTAGTTTCTAATCAAAAACAAATATTCCTTCTGATTAAGTTTTGCATTTATGGTTCAGTTATAATATATTACACTGTAAAAATTAAACATAATTAGATACATTTTCTTTTTAACAAGTATATTTTCCTATAATTTGAGCAGGTAAAAAATTGGCTTAAAAATATAAGGAATACCTTTAAAAAAAAAATAAAAAACCTCCATTATCCTATTTCAAGTGTCTAATAACTAATTATCTTATTTTAAGGGGAAATGTACTCAATCCATTGGCAGATCATCTTTAATTTCAAGATTTATTTCCTTATTTTTCCTCAATTTTTGCAGTGTGGAAATAATTAGTCGCTTTGGTTTTTACAAATTCTTTATTTTTGTTGGTAAAACTTTATTTTGTCATTGCTCACATCATAATCAGTGGTACCAACGACAACCACACCATGAAAAAAGCATTAAAAGAGTTAAAAGTGTAAGAATATGATTAATAGATAGGATAATATTATGTACAAGTGTGTATTTTGTTATTTTTTTGAAAATAAAAGGAGTAAGGAAAGTGGATGGAAAGCAATGTAAAAGCTAAATTGTTTTAGGACAGAATCTGGGGGAACAAACTGTCTCTGTTTTGGCTCTTTTTTTCCCCATTAGGACTGCATAGTTCTTCCCTGAAGGTAAGAGTTTGAACAGCTGACCAGAATGTGTAGGATCAGCAGAGATAAAAGTTATGGTCAGTCCTGATGACCCTCTCTAAAGACCTTATCATCCTGGACCTGTCCTGTTTTGTTATTTTAACCAAGCTATGTATGCAAAACAGACTGAAGGGTTGTAGTGTAGAAGATGATTTTTGGGAGTCACAAACTAATTGCTTTGCATATATTTTCTCTGGGCTTCAAGTTAGTAGGAAAAATGGAAAATCCAAACTCTATTGCACTTGATAAGAATATTGATGGCTCTCCTTGCATTTTGAGTTTAGCTATTTTTCTTAAGTTCTTATTAAGAACATAAAGCCATACAGATCCTTTATTGCCTCTTCAGTTTGGCGGTGTGGACTCTTTTTCCAAAAGCTGGTATTCTGACACCAGAATAGAATAATTTCTAAGTGCAAACAGCTACTTAGCACCTCCCAAACAAACTGGGTTGGAAAAAGTCTGAAAAACACAATTCAAACCTCTTTCTAGTACATAAACCAAAGGCAGGGTGCAATTTGGAGGTGTGTGCTCTTACTTCTGTAATAAAGGCAGGGTGAAATATGGAGGTGTGTGCTCTTACTTCTGTACTAAAGGTAGAGTGCAATTTAGAGGTGTGTGCTCTTACTTCTGTACTAAAGGCAGGGTGAAATATGGAGGTGTGTGCTCTTACTTCTGTACTAAAGACAGGGTGCAGTTTAGAGGTGTGTGCTCTTACTTCTGTACTAAAGGTAGGGTGCAATTTGGAGATGTGTGCTCTTACTTCTGTACTAAAGGCAGGGTGAAATATGGAGGTGTGTGCTCTTACTTCTGTACTAAAGGTAGGGTACAATTTGGAGGTGTGTGCTCTTACTTCTGTACTAAAGGCAGGGTGCAATATGGAGGTGTGTGCTCTTCTGTTCTAAAGGCAGGGTGAAATATGGAGATGTGTGCTCTTACTTCTGTACTAAAGGTAGGGTGCAATTTGGAGGTGTGTGCTCTTACTTCTGTTCTAAATGTAGGGTGCAATAGGGAGGTATGTGCTCTTACTTCTGTTCTAAATGTAGGGTGCAATAGGGAGGTGTGTGCTCTTACTTCTGTTCTAAAGGTAGGGTGCAATTTAGAGGTTTCTGTTCTGACTTCTGTACTAAATGCAGGGTGCAATTTGGAGGTGTGTGCTCTTACTTCTGTACTAAAGGCAGGGTGCAATATGGAGGTGTGTGCTCTTACTTCTGTTCTAAAGGTAGGGTGCAATAGGGAGGTGTGTGCTCTTACTTCTGTTCTAAAGGTAGGGTGCAATTTGGAGGTGTGTGCTCTTACTTCTTATCTAAAGGTAGGGTGCAATAGGGAGGTTTGTGTTCTTACTTCTGTACTAAAGGCAGGGTGCAATTTGGAGGTGTGTGCTATTCCTTCTGTTCTAAAGGTAGGGTGCAATTTGGAGGTGTGTGCTCTTACTTCTGTTCTAAAGGTAGGGTGCAATAGGGAGGTGTGTGCTCTTACTTCTGTTCTAAAGGTAGGGTGCAATTTGGAGGTGTGTGCTCTTACTTCTTATCTAAAGGTAGGGTGCAATAGGGAGGTTTGTGTTCTTACTTCTGTACTAAAGGCAGGGTGCAATTTGGAGGTGTGTGCTATTCATTCTGTACTAAAGGCAGGGTGCAATATGGAGGTGTGTGCTCTTACTTCTGTTCTAAAGGTAGGGTGCAATAGGGAGGTGTGTGCTCTTACTTCTGTTCTAAAGGTAGGGTGCAATTTAGAGGTTTGTGTTCTTACTTCTGTACTAAAGGCAGGGTGCAATTTGGAGGTGTGTGCTCTTACTTCTGTTCTTAAGGTAGGGTGCAATAGGGATGTGTGCTCTTACTTCTGTTCTTAAGGTAGGGTGCAATAGGGAGGTGTGTGCTCTTACTTCTGTTCTTAAGGTAGGGTGCAATAGGGATGTGTGCTCTTACTTCTGTTCTTAAGGTAGGGTGCAATAGGGAGGTGTGTGTTCTTACTTCTGTTCTAAAGGTAGGGTGCAATTTAGAGGTTTGTGTTCTTACTTCTGTACTAAAGGCAGGGTGCAATTTGGAGGTGTGTGCTCTTACTTCTGTTCTTAAGGTAGGGTGCAATAGGGAGGTGTGTGCTCTTACTTCTGTTCTAAAGGTAGGGTGCAATTTAGAGGTTTGTGTTCTTACTTCTGTACTAAAGGCAGGGTGCAATTTGTAGGTGTGTGCTCTTACTTCTGTTCTTAAGGTAGGGTGCAATAGGGAGGTGTGTGCTCTTACTTCTGTTCTTAAGGCAGGGTGCAATAGGGAGGTGTGTGCTCTTACTTCTGTTCTAAAGGTAGGGTGCAATTTGGAGGTGTGTGCTCTTCTGTTCTAAAGGCAGGGTGCAATTTAGGCCCCGTCCACACGAAGTCAAACCCTGGCCTAAACTAGGGGTGTAAATCACACCCATCATGGCGATTCGATTCAGTATCGATTTCCTGACCCAACAATTCGATTATTTTCGATACTCAAGAATACACCACGATACGATTCGATTCGATTAATCGATTAATTGGTTCTTTTTTTTTCACCTTCAAATTTGAAATAAATCAATAAAAGCTGTAACAACGTTAGGCTTTTTATTTGAGAAACAACAGCAAATAACAAGTAGAAAAGTACTTCATTGACCAAACTTAAAGTAATGAGTGCATTAGTGCCTTAGCAGATTAAGTAACAAAAACAGGCCTATAGTACATTAACTATAGAATAACAATACTCCAAAAGAAATAAAAAAATCAGTGCAATAAGTGCAAAAGTGCACTAGCAGCAAATGGTAACAAAAAATGCCCCTGTACTTAAATCACTATAAAATACTTAAAGTGCACTAGTAACAAATAGTAAAAATAAAACAACATAGGCCATACTCCACAAAGTCAGCAAAATGACTCAAAATGTGCACTAGCAACAGAAAAGTAGGCATTTACTTAATTCACTTAAAAGTAATAATGCTTCTGTGTGAAAAAGAGAACAGTTAGTAAAGCTGTAACATTAAACTACAGCATTGTTACAGTTCAATACTTTCAATTGTGCATTTTGACAGATTTTTCTTTAAAAAAATCAGCTGGTCCACATGCTCAGAGGACAAAACACTACGTTCTGAACGCACTATGTCCCCTGCTGTGCTAAACACGCGTTCTGATGGTACACTTGTACCAGGTATGCACAAGTAGGTCTGAGCCAGGTCGGCCAGGAGAGGAAACTCGGCCTGGTGAGCTTTCCACCATTGTAACACCTTACCACCCAAACTCAGAGATGCAATATCTCTGTACTTCCTAATTTCATCATTGGCTAGCTCTTTGGATGTTTTCTTCCTGGCACATTGGTCCTCAGTGCTGAAGGAGTCCCCAAACAAGTCATCCAATACTTTTGTTTTCTTGGAAACTGGAGGGGTTTCTAAATTAAACAAAAATAAGACAACAGAAGGAGTATAGTTAGTCAAAGTATAATATGGCAGTAGGCTTTAGTCATATAAAACAGTTTTAGTATATTATATACATACATAAGTGTGTGTGTTTATAAATATATAAAATGTGCACATATAATATGTCTATATAATATTTATAAAGTGTATGTGACATGAGTAGGTAGGTTTAAGTAGGATTTTTATGATGCTTCTGAATAATTGTAGAATGTATGAACAGTACCTTCCATACTTTTCGTTTCCCTCTCATCACACATCTGGGCATGGGGAGGTGTTTCCTGGGCCTGGACCTCTGGTTCATTCTGTAACTGTCACAGACACATATACACTCATAAGCACCAACTTAATACTACATAAGAACAACACCCAACAGTTCAATGTAGACTGAAAAAATAATGCAACCATTTATGGCATTTACTTAATAATATTTAGTTACACAATTTAACAATTGTTTGGTGTTTTTTAGCAGGGTAGGGCATAAAACTAACTAGTAAATGCTAAAGCGGATGCATTATTTTTTTCAGTGTATTACCTTAAAACACAGTAACAGCACCAACGACTACTACAACTAATAACAATTAATAATGATAAATAAATAAACGCTATACTATATTTTAAAAAGTATATTATGATAAACAACCTACCCTCTGTTCCTTCAGCTGTGCTGCTTCTTCAGCAATACATTCAAAGGTTTGGTTTCTTCTTTCATCACTCAGGAATGGGAGCTTTTTAAACCTAGGGTCCAACGCAGCTGCTCGGAGTAAGAACGGTTCCTCGTTCACATACCGTTCTCTGAGGTCCTCGGCCATGACTCGTTTCATGTCTTTGATCAAGGGAGTGTCGTCTGGTTTATATTCAAAATGTGTCAGCAACTTCGTTCTGAGGGGGGCGATGATTGACACTGTGGGTTGCTTTTCTTCGCACATGAGCGTGGTGGCAGCTTTCAGTGGGGCCAACAAGCTAACCACTTGCTCTGCTGCGGATAGGTCACCTTCCGTGAGAGTGCGAATCTCGCTTCCGCCTTTCCTCAGCTTGTTGTCCAGGAGGGTTGCCGTCACCGCAGGCTGTTGCTCCAGGAACCGCTCTAACATTTCGAATGAACTGTTCCACCTTGTCTTTACGTCCGCTTTAAGTTTGTGGCACGGGAGGTTAAGCAGTTTTTGCTTTTCCTTGAACACTGCGGTTGCTATTGCGCTGCGATGGAAAAAACTCACAATTCTCCTAACTCGACCCAAAAGCCTGTCTGTGGCTGTGAGCTTGAGGCCATCTTGAGTGGACAGATTGAGAGTGTGTGCGAAGCACATGATGTGGGGTGACATCCCGGACTCTTCCCCAGCCCTCTTCATATTTGATGCATTATCCGTGACGAGGGCTGGTGCTTTGTTACTCAGACCCCACTCTTCACACGCAGCTCGTAGGACGTGTCCTATGTTAACTCCTGAATGAGTCTCTGCCAGCACACGCGTCTGTAACACGTAATTTTGCATCTCCCATTCGTGGTTAATGAAGTGGCATGTTACTGTGATGAAGGATTCTGTAGTGCAGGAAGTCCAGCCGTCACAGGTTACAGCTACGCGCTGTGCCTCCTGCAACTCTTGAATTACTCTATCACGAACTTTGGCATATAACTTTGGAATCAATGATTCGCTGAAGTGCTGTCGCGAGGGAATGCTATACCTTGGCTCCAGTGTGTCGAGCAGGTATCGGAAGCCTTCGTTCTCCACAATGCAATATGGACGTATGTCTGTACATATGAAGAACACTATTGCCTTGGATATATTCTTTGCCCTCTTAGAGCTGTGTGAAAACTTCTCCGGGAAAAATGTTGTCAGTGGCGACGAAGAGGGCTGTACTTTTTCTACGCCTTGGACATCATGGCGTCTTTTCAGGTGAGCAGACAAATTGGATGTGTTGCCACAGTAGCGTATTTCGCAACGACAAGCTCTGCAGATAGCAATATCCTTCAGCAGTTTTTTTCCATCCTTACAGAACCCAAAATACTTCCACACATAGGACTTGTACCTGCCGCAAGGTGTGTGTAAGTCGTCTTCTTTTTCAACTCTTTTGTCTACCTCTTCTTCCAACTCCGCTGTCTCCGCCATGTTTGTTTTGCATACTGTTGAAGCGAGTTTGTGCAAGCGGAAAGAGGGTGTGGCTAAAGCAAGTGAGGTAGGAAGGCAAAATAGGTATAGCGCCACCGCAGCACGGGAGTCAGAATTACGCCCAGAAAAAAAAAAAAAATTGACCGAAAAAAAAAAAAAAAACATGAATCGATTCTCTTGCGGACGTATCGATGCATCGGATCGTCGGCTGTTGGATCGATGCATCGATACAAAACGATTATTATTTACACCCCTAGCCTAAACGCACAAATTTTTCACCAAACCAGCCTCTCATCCATACGAAGCCGACGTTTTGGGGTCTGTAAACGATCTTTTTTTTAATTCAGCCTTCAGAGTGGGAAGATTTTGAAACGCCGTTTTCGCGTTTCCATCTTTAAGCTCTAACCGCATTTTTTGTTTTACACACATGCGTCATAGCGTCGCCTCTAAACACGCATGCGCGACACAGTATTACAACAACAATGGCGCCGTACTGTGTTGAATGGTTGCTGCTAATGCTACTCACCCTGCTGTCGGGCTTACAACAGAATCTTCTTCTGGAATATCTCCTGGAAGAACAGAGCAATATCGACAACATAGTTCAGCACCTGAATTTGACTTAACCACGAAAATGGACCCGCAGGGCAACCATGTATAAATACACTATATTGCCAAAAGTATTTGCTCACCCATCCAAATTATTGGAATCAGGTGTTCCAATCACTTCCATGGCCACAGGTGTATAAATTCAAGCACCTAGGCATGCAGACTGTTTTTACAAACATTTGTGAAAGAATGGGTCGCTCTCAGGAGCTCAGTGAATTCCAGCGTGGAACTGTGATAGGATGCCACCTGTGCAACAAATCCAGTCGTGAAATTTCCTCGCTCCTAAATATTCCACAGTCAACTGTCAGCTGTATTATAAGAAAATGGAAGTGTTTGGGAACGACAGCAACTCAGCCACGAAGTGGTAGGCCACGTAAACTGACGGAGCGGGGTCAGCGGATGCTGACGCGCATAGTGCGAAGAGGTCGCCAACTTTCTGCAGAGTCAATCACTACAGACCTCCAAACTTCATGTAGCTCAAGAACAGTGCGCAGAGAGCTTCATGGAATGGGTTTCCATGGGCGAGCAGCTGCATCCAAGCCATACATCACCAAGTGCAATGCAAAGCGTCGGATGCGGTGGTGTAAAGCACGCCGCCACTGGACTCTAGAGCAGTGGAGACGCGTTCTCTGGAGTGACGAATCGCGCTTCTCCATCTGGCAATCTGATGGACGGGTCTGGGTTTGGCGGTTGCCAGGAGAACGGTACTTGTCTGACTGCATTGTGCCAAGTGTAAAGTTTGGTGGAGGGGGGATTATGGTGTGGGGTTGTTTTTCAGGAGCTGGGCTTGGCCCCTTAGTTCCAGTGAAAGGAACTCTGAATGCTTCAGCATACCAAGACATTTTGGACAATTCCATGCTCCCAACTTTGTGGGAACAGTTTGGAGCTGGCCCCTTCCTCTTCCAACATGACTGTGCACCAGTGCACAAAGCAAGGTCCATAAAGACATGGATGACAGAGTCTGGTGTGGATGAACTTGACTGGCCTGCACAGAGTCCTGACCTCAACCCGATAGAACACCTTTGGGATGAATTAGAGCGGAGACTGAGAGCCAGGCCTTCTCGTCCAACATCAGTGTGCGACCTCACAAATGCGCTTCTGGAAGAATGGTCAAAAATTCCCATAAACACACTCCTAAACCTTGTGGACAGCCTTCCCAGAAGAGTTGAAGCTGTTCTAGCTGCAAAGGGTGGACCGACGTCATATTGAACCCTATGGATTAGGAA